GTCCCTTTAGCTTTAACAACGCTCAGCACCCTTAACAAACTACAGCTCCCAGGATCCTCTGGGGGAAGTCAGGACTGTTCAAAGTGCTATAACAATGCTTGAAATATATGACGTGGATGTGGCCTGAGCGTGTGTCTGCGCGCATAGCTCAGTCGGTTGAGCGTGAGACTTTTTAATCTCAGGGTCCAGGGTTCGAGTTCCACGTTGGGGAAAAGATTCCTGCATTGCAGGGGGTTGGACTATAGTAGATGACTCTGGGGTGGGGGCTGTCCCTTCCAACTCTTACGATTCCTCTTGAAAGGGTCCGGCTCCAGACGGGTTAAGCCTGTGCAGCTGACCTAGAGTAACCCCCCCCTCGGCCGGCAGGGAAAGCGTTAATCTGCCATGCCCGGCAGTAACCCCGGGTGCCATTCACCTTGGAGTCTGCAGCAAGGCTGAAAGACCCAGCGCCAGGGTGGTTGGCAGCCGGGCCGGCCCTGATTGGCCAAGCAGGATCACCTCATGCTAAATCCGTGATTCACAATTCCACCCTCTCATTCCAGCCAGGGAGGGGGGGGAGGAGGGAAGAGTAGGAGGAGGAGGGGCGGGGGAAGAGGCTGGCCAGAAAAGAGGAGGGAGGAGGGAAGAGAGTTTAAAAAAAAGAAAAAGAACTAGCAGTTCCCAGAGTTGTACTTTTTGCACAGCGAGGCTGCCAGACCAGGGCACTGTCTGCACGTCCCCCCCCCCCCAAGGTGTGGAAGAAGGGTCAGGGAAGGGCTGCCTTTGGACCAGCCAGGAAGGATGGATTGCACTTTAGAAGGTACAACTTTTTTTCCAGGTGTAGCTTCTGCTGCCTGCTTGGCCTCCTCTTCTGCGCAGGTGGTGCAGAAGAAGGATGCCCGTGGAAGAGACGCTAGGATCCTTTCCACTCTCCCTCCGCCCTAGAGAACAACTCTGGATTTCAGGCGGAGGGGGCATAGCTGTCAACTTTTCCCTTTTCTTTGCGAGGAATCCTATAAGGAATAAGGGAATTTCCCTTAAATAAAGGGAAAAGTTGACAGCTACGGGAGGGGGCAGGGTGGGTGAGTGGTATAGCAAGGGCAGGCGAAGGAGTTTCATCCGAATTAGGAACTTTCCAGATTTGGTTACAAGTTGGTCTGCTGTAGTTGAAACAAAAAAATAATAAATTCCTTCCAGTGGCACCTTAGAGACCAACTAAGTTTGTTATTGGTATGAGCTTTTGTGTGCATACACACTGAGGGTACAGATGCCAATGGAGGCGAAGGCGTTTCCTTTTCGCCCTCCAAAGTTGTCATGGTTTTTGGAAACTTCCCTCCCCGTTTAACCCCTGAGAGTGAATGAAAACACATTTTTAAAAAAAGGTTTTTATGAAACAATTGTTTCTATGCAATTTCCTGCAATTGTTTGCAGGCTGGGCTATAATATTTTTTAAAAACAAACAAAAAAACAAAAAAACTGCAGGCTTTTTGCTAAATTTTAATCTGCTTCAGTGTTTTAACTTTTCATATGTTTTAAAGTTGTGTTTCCCCTTGGTTCTCTTGTTTCTATCATTTTGTAAACTGCTTTCAGGTTTTTCAGCCGTGCATCAATTTTATGAAACAAATAAGAAATAAAACTTGCTTCTGCTTTTTGGAAGGCTGGAGAGCGGTACCAACCCTCTATTCTGAAGATGGGATGGGGCCCTGAGTGCTGTCACTCAGATAGCACCCATGTGTGCTGGCATTCCGATAAGTATCAGAAGTTTGCCTGAAGGGGTTTAATTTACATAGGGCTTTGTGGAGCATGTGCCTTAGTTTAGTGCTAGGTAGATTTGGATAACTGAGCTTTGCAAAATGGACTATTCTGTTGCACATAATTCTTCAGCCTTAGGATGGATGCCCGAATCTGCAGAATGCTTAATTCCCATCCTGCATCTTTGCAGAACCTTCCTGGATTTTTATTTTGGAGCAGCACTGAGCTGACTTTGGGTCCATCCACACTTTCGCTTGACCCGTGTTTCAATCGTGTACCAGTCAATTCTCCTGGGTCTGAGAGCTTTCCTTGTTGTTCTGTGGCTTTTCCTTGCCTAAACCCAATTTTACCTGCTTAATTGAAGCTTGGTTAAGCAACGCCTTGCTGTGGATTTTCCGATTTAGCAAGGTAAGATCAGGTTTTTTTTGCAAAGCACAGCCGCTGAGCAATGAGAAAAGCTCCTGGTCCCAAGGGAATGACTCGATACGCAATGCATTCAACATATCGGTCAATCAAAAACAGTATGGATGAGCCCTTTTGGGTGGTTCTGCTGGAAATTGCAGGTTGAGATTTGCTGAAGTTCCTGAAATAAAACTTCCAGAGCGGTTGCATTGAAGGACGGATTGACACCAGCACAGTTTCCTGAGGGCTGTCTTGTGTTGTGAGTTACTTTCGTCAAGGTGTTGTGTGTGGCATAGAAAGCCACATTATACAAGGCCAGGCTATTTGTCAACTCTGATGGGTTGCTCAATAAAGATGTCGACCCAGAGTGCAGCAGCAGCAGCTGTGAAAAAAAGGCAAATTCCATGCTAGGGATCATTAGGAAAGGAGCTTAAAACAAAACCACCAATATTGTGCAAATCTATAACGTGACAGCATTTGGAATATTGTGTGCAGTTCTGATTGCCTCACCTCAAATGGGATATTGTGGAGCTGGAAAAGGTTCAGAGAAGCGCAAGCAAGATGGTCAAGGGAGTGGAACAACTCTGCTATGAAGAAAAAAGTGCAGCATTTGGAGCTTATTAGTTTAGATAAAAGATGCCTAAGAAGTAATGTGATAGTTTGTGAAATTATGCATGGCATAAGGTTTTTTTTTCTTTCCACACAGTGCATAGTTAAACTGTGGAACTGCCTGCCACAGGAGGCAGTGAAGGCCGCCAGGTTGAATGGCTTGCAAAGAGGATTAGACAAAACTCATGGGGGAGAATAAGGCTTTGGATGGCTACTAGCTATAATGGTTATGAGACAAGAATGCTTCTGAAGGCCAGTTGCTGGAAACCTCCGGGGGGGGGGGTGAGAGGACTCTCGTGGCTGAATCCTGCATGCAGGTTTCCCTTGGGGGCATGTGTTTTTTTTTAATAATATTTTTTATTGATTTTCCAACACATAATAAAGACAATACAATACACAATACACAAACAAACAAACAAACAAACAAACACATAAACACGTATAATTTCAAAACCTTCTTTTCTTAAGTCTTACTTCTCCGACTTCCCCATACCTCCCCTTTCTGCATCCCTGTTTCAAAATTTCTTCAGCAATTCCTCACTTAATTTAACTAATTGCTCATTTTTCCCTCCTTCTCTTTTACATAGTCGTTTACAGCTGTAATCCTCTTCCCTTGGGGGCATGTAGTTGGTCACAGTGAGGTCAGGATGCTGGAACTAGTTGGACCATTGGCCTGATCCAGTAGCCATCTGTTCTGTTCTGCCCCAGTGGGTACTTTACTGCAATACTCCCCACCCCCCACCTGACATTCCAAATACAGTGGTACCTCGGGTTACATACACTTCAGGTTACAGACTCCGCTAACCCAGAAATAGTACCTCGGGTTAAGAACTTTGCTTCAGGATGAGAACAGAAATCGTTCTCCAGCAGCGCAGCAGCAGCTGGAGGCCCCACTAGCCAAAGTGGTGCCTCAAGTTAAGAACAGTTTCAGGTTAAGAACGGACCTCCAGAACGAATTAAGTTCTTAACCCGAGGTACCACAGTATAGTCCTTTTCACATAGTCTGCAATCCCGTTCTGGCTTAACCCAGACCTGCTTGGCTTAAACAGGGCTGCCTTATCACAAACTTCCAGCCCCTATGCTGCTGGGCATGTGAGATGCAAAGGGCTATTGGTGCAGGATACTGATCTTGAGGGACGCGGGTGGTGCTGTGGGTTAAACCACAGAGCCTGGGACTTGCCAATCAGAAGGTCGGTGGTTCGAATCCCTGTGATGGGGTGAGCTCCCGTTGCTCGGTCCCTGCTCCTGCCCACCTAGCAGTTCAAAAGCACGTCAAAGTGCAAGTAGATCAATAGGTACCGCTCCGGCGGGAAGGTAAACAGTGTTTCCGTGTGCTGCTCTGGTTTGCCAGAAGCGGCTTAGTCATGCTGGCCACATGACCTGGAAGCTGTCTGCGGACAAACGCTGGCTCCCTCGGCCTATAGAGCGAGATGAGCGCGAAACCCCAGAGTCGTCCGCGACTGGACTTAACGGTCAGGGGTCCCTTTACCTTTACTGATCTTGAATGTGGAGTAGTTGGTGATGTGACCAAAGGTTGGCAGAATTGTGCTGCGGCAGCATTGCTGGAGGTTGGCACAGGTGGTCGTTGGTCACAGGAGGTCTTAACTCCATAGCTGTGATGGTTGAGAGATCAGATCCAGGCACTCCTGAGAGACCCACAATCTTGGGGATGATCCTGCCAAGCCTTGGCTCACACAGTGAGCTTCAGCCCAGACGGGCATCTGTTTGCCATGTGATCTGCTGAACGGGAGTTGTGAAACTGGGTAACAGCCCAGGAGGCAGACATCCTAGAAAGAGGTGGCAAAGTTCTCTTTTGTGTCTGAATATAAAGAGTACCTGTCACATAGCCAAAGAGCTTTCTGGATTCTGTTTGAAGTGGTATCATACTGGTGAGAGCTGGGAGGGTCCACTCCCTTTTGTGTGAGACAAAGTTTAAAACCTACCTCTGATAGAGTTCTTTGTGATTTTCTCTCCCTCTCTTTCCTCTTTCTCAATTTGTTTTCTTTTGTTTCTCCTTTTCCGTTTCCTCTTTATTTAAATTAGTTTTTTTATTGTTCTGTATGTGGAAAAGTATCAATAATTGTTTTACTTTTTTAAAAAAATAGAGGGGTACCATTGTGCTATAAAGTATGGTGCAATTGCAGCCCTGGTCTGTGTGCCCATTTTGCCTGTTCGTAAGGAAATTCTCACAGACCCCAGACTCCTAAGTACAAAGAGAACCCCGTCTCAAGGCTACCTTCCTTCTGTATGTTTTGCAGACATGCTTCAGCTGATCAACACTGAAGATGGAGACTTCCCTGGTCTGTTCGAAGCGTCGTTCGGCACAACTGTCACCCCAGAGCCCAATCCACATGGGCCCAGTTTGTTCAGTGGCTACCTGGAGGCCACAAACTCACCTTCCTCCAGCTTGTTCCAGGTCCCAGCTCCACCCCCACCCAGCTTCCAACCAGTGACGGCAGCAAACTCGAACACAGAGCCCACTCCGATGGACATCAAGGAGGAGCCTGTCCTGTCGACGGCCAGCCAGCCTGCATCTCGGCTCCCACCGACCAGGATGGCGGCTCAGAGTTTTGTCCCGGCACCCCAGACCCAATTCTCAGCACAACCTATGGTGGGATTCCTGAATCAGAGCAGTGTTTCTGGTGAGGAGGGCGGCCCCCAGGCTTAACTGATTTCAAAAATTAAACTATTGTTTGATGTATCACAGTATTTTAATATTTTTTTGGAAGCCACCCAGAGTGGCTGGGGGGGCCCAGCCAGATGGGCGGGGTATAAATAATAATAAAAAATATTATTATTATTATTATTATTATTATTATTATTATTATTTTATTGTATTGTTTCTGTTTGTTGTTTTGGAGTGTGTGTCCTTTGAAGGTAGGATTTCTTGATTTTAGTTGTGCACAGAGCCAGGCAGATTGATGGCGCTGTATAAATAAATGTTAATAGTAATAATACAATAAGAGGGGGCTGGGCTTGCCAACTGACCAAAAAGCAGCAGCTGGGTGTGCTCCTGTGCCATTAGCAGCTGCTACATCTTCAGGAACTAGCAGGCGAAGTTTTTCACACTGAGGAGTCGTGTCTTTCCCTGCTCACACTGAGGAGTCGTGTCTTTCCCTGCTCTTTTCCCTGCTTAACACCAGGCAGCTGTTAAAGGCACAGCTACAGGGACCTGTTGAAAAGTTGGCGGCCCTAGAGGTGATTTGATGCTGCAGAGCTCCTTAGAAGTCAACGGATGACAGTCCCCCTACTTCTTAAATGCACAGGGGCTTGTAATCGGCCCCATATATAAATTAGGGATTAGGAAACTGTGGCCTAAAGATTTCAGAATTAGAATTATTTGGATGGGGAGGCCAAACAGCCAAAAAAGACTGATCCATTTGTTGGAGGACAGACAGAAAATTGTGAGTGGTTGGGTGGGGAGCAGAGTGGCTGGAACCGTCAAGAGGAGCACTCGAGACTGCACCATTTTGTTGCAGTTGCCAATGATAAACAGATCATTATCCTGATCTGGAGGACAGAAAGGGATCTCAGAGGGCATCAGAATCTACTTTGGGAACCAAAATGGGTGAAGGCGTTCAGCGCTGGGGGTTTCAAATGTGCAAATGCTTTCTGTCTCGTTCTGTTCATGGCCACTGGTCATGCGAAACCTCCCTGTTCAGTGGTGGTCTACCTGTGAATACTACTTGCCAGGGAGCTTGGGGTCTTCCTGGAAGCATTTCACAGGCTGGTGGGAGAAACGGAGGATGCCGAGTTACATATTCCTTCATTCTGCTTCAGTAGGGCTGCTCTGCTGTAGTGCAGTGGTTAGAGCATTGGACTAGGAGACCAGGGTTCTAATCGCCACTGGGCCATGGAGCTCTCACTGGGTGATGTTGGGGGCCGGTCTTTTGCTTGCAACAACAGGGTTGTTGTGGGGATTAAATGAAGGGGAGGACCATGAGCTGCTTGGAGAAATGGATGGAATATGGATGCATTTTAGAAATAAATATGTTTCTCTCTCAGCTCCCCAGCCAGGAGGGCATTCTCAGCCCCCTCCAAACACCCAAGCCACGTCGCAGCAGAACCAGCCAGTGGCAATGCAAACCCAGCTCCAGAACATCGCTCCCCAACAGATTCTGACTCCCCACAGTGGATCCCAAGTCGTCCAGCGCCAGATCCAGCAAGTGCCGGTGAGCAGGGGCTGCGGGGGCCCTGGATCTGTTAGTCCTCTCATGGTGTAGCGGTTAAGAGCGGTGGACTCGTAATCTGGTGAACCGGGTTCGCTTTCCTGCTCCTCCACATGCAGCTGCTGGGTGACCTTGGGCCAGTCACACTTCTTTGAAGTCTCTCAGCCCCACTCACCTCACAGAGTGTTTGTTGTGGGGGAGGAAGGGGAAGGAGATTGTTAGCCGCTTTGAGACTCCTTCGGGTAGTGATAAAGCGGGATATCAAAGCCAAACAACTCTTCTTCTTCTTCTTCTTCTTCTTCTTCTTCTTCTTCTTCTTCTTCTTCTTCGCACTGACCCCTCCTCTCTTCCCACAGGTCCTTCTGCAGCCTCACTTCATCAAGGCCGACTCTCTGCTTCTGACAACTGTCTCGGGAGCCCAGACCTCTGGCATCACCTCTCTGGGGACCACAACGGCCGTCCAGTCGACATCACTACAGATGCCGGTAATTAGTTAATGAATTGTTCTGTCTTGTAATATCTGTGCACCGCTTGACGGTAAACGACAACAACCACCTCAACACGGTTTACAAAAAGATAAAACCATAAAATCGAGGGTTGCCCAGTCCATTTGTTTTTGGACTACAGTTCCCATCATTCCTGACCACGGGTCCTGCTACCTAGGGGTGATTTGGAGTTGTAGTCCAAAAGCAGCTGGGGACTCAAGTTTGGAAAACCCTGGGCTTAAATGACCCACAGGGGTCTTTTCCAACTCTACAATTTTTTTATTCTATGATTTACAGTACAGTCGTACCTTGGAAGTTGAACGGAATCCGTTTCGGAAGTCTGTTTGACTTCCAGAACGTTCGGAAACCAAAGCGCGGCTTCTGATTGGCTGCAGGAAGCTCCTGCAACCAATCGGAAGCAGCAGAAGCCTTGCTGGACATTCGGCTTACAAAAATTGTTCAAAAAATGGAACGCTCACTTCCAGGTTTTGATCGTTCGGTAGCCGGTTTGTTCAGGAGCCAAGGCGTTTTGTGGCAGCTAGACCTGTGGTGACAGGGAGTGGCTGCCGAGACCACAAAACACCAGTCCTGAAAGACCTAAATTGGCTCCCAGTTTGTTTCTAAGCGCAATTCAAAGTGTTGGTGCTGACCTTTAAAGCCCTAAACGGCCTCAGCCCAGTATACCTGAAGGAGCGTCTCCACCCACATCATTCTACCCGGACACTGAGGTCCAGCTTCAAGGGCCTTCTGGTAAGTCCCTCACTGCGAGAAGCCAAGTTACAGGGAGCCAGGCAGAGGGTCTTCTCGGTAGTGGCCCCCGCCCTGTGGAACGCCCTCCTGTCGGATGTCAAGGAAATAAACAACTATCTGAGTTTTAGAAGACATCTGAAGGCAGCCTTGTTTAGGGAAGTTTCTGGTGTTTTATTGTGTTTTTATATTTTGCTGGAAGCCGCCCAGAGTGCCTGGGGAAACCCAGCCAGATGGGCAGGGTATAAATAATAAATTATTATTATTATTATTATTATTATTATTATTATTATTATTATTATAACAGTAATAAGAAGAATGTATTGGGGGAGTGTCTTTGCCTGATTCAAGGAAAGGAATTACGCCCCCCTGCAACTGCTCCTCCTCCCTCCTCCTCCCTTGCAGACACTGATGAGTGGGGGCACCATCCTGGCGACGGTTCCTCTGATGATGGATACAGACAAGCTGCCCATCAACCGCCTGACTGCCGGGAAGCCGCTGGGAAGCCACGGCAAGGGCGAAAAGCGCACAGCCCACAACGCCATCGAGAAACGGTATCGCTCCTCCATCAACGACAAGATCTCCGAGCTCAAGGACCTGGTGGTGGGGTCGGAAGCCAAGGTACGCCTGCAGGGACCTTTATTTTGGGTGCGCAGCTGTCCCCTGGTTGAGGAGGTCTCTTCCTAGAGAAGCCCGCCGGGCCCCTACATTTGTGGCTTTGGTTTGGCACCGTTTGGGTAAATGTGCTTAGAAATAATTCTCTCAGGCTTTCAATTTATTTCATAAAATGTATATTATTATTATTATTATTATTATTATTATTATTATTATTATAATATTGTATACTACCCTTCATCCAAAGATCACAGGGTGGTTCACAACCTATACCGCTTGACTGTAAGAAAAATTATAAATCTCCAAGTGGGTTACAAAAGTTATGAAAAGTTAAGAAACGGCTATTTACAGCATTAAAAAAATATTGATGATGAGCGAAAGACAAATTAAAACTCATGCCAACATCGTACTTAGCTGGGTGAGCTGGGTTAAACAAGCCTGCTTTTAGCAAGTGCTTTTAACATATTTGAATATTTTTGAAAGGTTTTGTTTTAATCTCTTTGAAACATCGATATTAGTATTGTTAGCCTTTACTTTTGCTAGTGGGGGGTTAGTTTTAGGCTTTGTGAAGCTGCCTTAACCCCCTCTTTCTGAATTTGGTTATGGTTCTTCCATTGGCACTTTCACAGGTGCCCATAATACCTGTAACCGCACCTGTAAGAACTTACTCGTTTAATGTGCCGACACTTTGCAACTCTCTGCCTGTTGATAGCAGGCAGGCAACTTCCCTGTAATATTTTTGTCACCTGCTGAGGACATTCTTATTTAGACAAGCCTACCCTGATGTCTAGAAAGTTTGTAGGAGTTCTAACTTGTTTTAGTGTACTCTGTGCTATTGCAGTTTTAACTTTCTGTATGTTTTAAAATTTGGCGGTCATTTTTTAGCGGTCATTTTTTGGCTTCATATCTTTATAAACCGCTTTGAGGTTTTCTGCAATCAAGTGGTATATTAACTATAGGAAATAAATAAATAAATGGCCATATATTGAGTCAGTCCATACAGTCCATCTAGCTCAGTATTGTCTGCTCTGACTGGCAGTGACTCCTCAGAGTTTCTTTCCCAGCCCTTCTTGGAGATGCTGGGGGATTGAACCTGCGACCTTCTGGATGCTAAGCATGTGTTTTGCCACTGAGCTATGGTCCCTGACTCCACTAGGTGAGCGGGTGGCACTGTGGTCTAAACCACTGAGCCTCTTGGGCCCGCCGATCGGAAGGTCGGCGGTTCGAATCCCCGTGACGGGGTGAGCTCCCTATGCTCTGTCCCAGCTCCTGCCAACCTAGCAGTTTGAAAGCAAGCATGCCAGTGCAAGTAGATAAATAGGTACCGCTCTGGCGGGAAGGTAAACGGCATTTCTGTGCCTGCTCTGGTTTCCGTCACGTTGTTTCGTTGTGCCAGAAGCGGTTTAGTCCTGTTGGCCACATGACCCGGAAAGCTGTCTGTGAAACAGCCTGAAAAGTGAGATGAGCACCGCAACCCCAGAGTCGCCTTTGACTGGACTTAACTGTCCGGGGATCCTTTACCGCTAGGTTTTGCTCTCTGTTGGTTCTGGAGCTTAATTGGGGAGGTTCAGCCATATTGGGTGGCATCAGGGCCGGATTTACAGTAGGTTTGATGAGGCCCTAAGCTACTGAAGGTAATGGGGCCCTTTATATGTCCAGCTGTCCTTTGTCAACAACAAAATTGTTGCTGTTTTTTGTGTTGAATATTTGCCCTGTGGTAATTTATGGACCTAATAGGTATCTAAAGCCATTTGCACATGCAGAATGTAGGCACCCTATATATAGAAATGAGCAAACCAGTGATATTTGAGGGAGCAGGCTAGCAGGTGGGGCCCATTACTTACATCCTAGGAGCCCACACAACACAAAACACTGTTGCTGTACGTATGTTTTATTTTATTTGTTTTTTATCTTACATTTTGGAAATGTACATCCAGTTTTATTTCACTTTAAAATTTTTGGGGGCCCCCAAGAGAGTGGGGCCCTAAGCTATGGCTCATTTAGCTTATACATAAATCCGGCACTGATGAAAATGTTTGCAGCAGCCAACTTTTCCTGCATCTTCTATTTGATGCCACACCAGGGGAGAGACTGGCCAACCCCCTTGGCCACATAATGCCTCCTTCCAAATGTGGCAGGGTCTCTTGTCTAGGAAATGGTGGGGTTCTCCATCCAACTGGTTGTTCCTGCCCACTCAGCCTGTTTCTCCTTCGCTTGGATGATTTTGCTGCCATTTTGGGCAGCTGTCTCCGAGGCTTGGGCTACCAAAGGGAACGATTCCTCCTCTGCAGCTCTGGCTGCTGTTGCAAGCGGCTCTCTGGCGGTGCTCCAGGAAAGAGTTTGTGGCTCGGAGATTCTCCCGCTTGTTGGCTTTGATAGGGCTTGCGCAGGAGAACCTCCCTCCTGAGAAGAGGATAGGTCAAAGAGGAACCCCTCCGAGCCTGTCATTTCCCTCCGCTCACCCTCTAACCGTGCCAACCTTTCCTGTCCGTTGGCAGCTGAACAAGTCGGCCATTTTGCGCAAAGCAATCGACCACATCCGCTTCCTGAAGCAGGCCAACCAGAAGCTGAAGGCCGAGAACATGGCCCTCAAAATGGCGAGCCAGAACAACAGTGAGTTTCGCAGCCTTCGGCCCCTTTTGCAGATTGGAAACTGCAAAAGTTTGGGCTTTTGGAGGGGAGGGGAGGAAAAAACCGCGAGGGACCCCCAGAACACGTGCTGGATCCTATCAATACAAGGATCCCAGGTGGTGGTCTCTCATTCATTGGTGGTTTTTAAACAGAGGTTGGGTGGCCATCTGCCAGGGGTTCTTTGCTGTGATTTGTGCATTGCAGGGGGTTAGAATGGATGACCTTTGGGGATCCCACCCAGTTCTGCAATTACATGATTCTGTGACTGTTGAGAGGAGCAAAAGCGTGGTTGCCCTGGGGGGAAACGCAAACACCTGCCCCTTCTGAATCATTGATGTTTCTTGGGTGGAAGCAGAACTTAATATTATTATTATTATTATTATTATTATTATTATTATTATTATTATGTTTCTTGGGTGGAAGCAGAACTTAATATTATTATTATTATTATTATTATTATTATTATTATTATTATCATCATCATCATCATATGACTAGATTGCCCCAGCTACTCTGGGTGGCTTCCAGCAAAATATAAAAATACAATAAAGCATCAAAAACTTCCCTAAACAAGGCTGCCTTCAGATGTCTTCTAAAAGTCAGGTAGTTGTTTATTTCCTTGACATCTGACAGGAGGGCGTTCCACAGGGCGAGCGCCACTACTGAGAAGGCCCCGTTCCTGGTTCCCTGTAACCTCACTTCTAGCAGTGAGGGAACCACCAGAAGGCCCTCGGAGCTGAACTTGCTTTTGGGCGAAGCGCATTTCTCTCTGTGGTGACCATGGATTCTCCTTTTGCTCTTTCCGCCTGTCCTGCTTCTGCAGAGTCCCTGAAGGACCTGGTAGCCACATGTGGTGGCAACACCCAGGACTCAAAGGAAGGGATCAAGCTGGTGGACACCCTGACGCCACCCCCGTCGGATGCAGGCTCCCCGTTGCGCGGCAGCGGCAGCCCTCTCTCGCTCAGCGGCACCAGCGGGAGCGACTCTGAGCCAGACAGCCCCTTCTACGAGGAGACCAAGGTGCGACCCCAAACGGGAGCAGGAGGCGGTGGAAGGGGGAACGGCTGGGAATAGCCCAGTGGGCTGGGGCTTCACCTCAGCGGAATCATGCAAAAAACCAAAAGTCCATTTCCTTTTTTAAAAAATATAATTTTTTATTAGTTTTTTAACATACCATTTTCAACAGTGATTAAACATACTTTTACATCTTATCCAGTTTTTTTGACTTCCATCAGCCCTGTCTGAAAATTTTCCAATCTAATCTCTTGGTATGCATTTCTTATTTCCCCTATTACATTTCAAACTCATAACCAATATCCCATATCATTTTCTACTTTGTAACACTTCGTATATTTCTCCTTACAAAACTTCTTGTAGTCCCACTAGCGTAATTTGTTGATTACAGCTGCTCTTCAAATAATTCATATACTTCTTCCAATCTTCTGTAAATCTCTGGTCCCGCAGGTTTCGAATCCTTCCTGTCATTTTGTCCAATTCTGCATAGTCCATCAATTTCATCTGCCATTCTTATTTCATCGGAATTTCTTCTTGCTTCCATTTCTGGGCTAACAGCACTCTTGCCGCTGTTGTTGCATATAAGAACAGTTAGACATCTTGTCTATTAATGTCTTGGCCTATAATATAAAGTCCATTTCCAATGAAGATCCCCGATATGAGTTCCGTGAATCATCTGCATGCCCTTGATCTAAGCCAATATTGCTTCCTCTGATTGGTAGCAGCTGTTCCAGGGCTTTTCCCACTTCCAAGTACCTTGATTTTTGCAAACTATTTGCACTAGGGTTTCAAAATGTTGCTTTAGCGTCTTTGCACAGGAACTATCGCCATTCCTGGAAACCCGAGGGGACCCCTTCCATCATTTTCTGTGTTCACGCCCCTCTTTCATTCACCACCTCTTTCCAGAAAGAGAACAAAATGAAGAATTGGTTGCAGGTTCGATCACTGCATGGGACAGCTGCATATTCCTGCATTGCAATGTGTTAGACTGCATGATCCGCAGGGTTCCTTCCTTCTATGATTATAAGGGGGAGGGAAATGATTAAAATAAAAAAAGATAGCTTCTCTATCTGACAGTTACTTGTGTATCAAAATTTCAAAATATTTAGCATATACACTCCAAAAATATCTAGCTCTAAAAGCAGCTGGAATCCACCTGGCTGAGAAGGCGGCAACTTGGCCCTCCCTCCACGCTGCCCCCAAACTCAGCTGCGGTTGTCTGTGGCTGTTTCAGGTGAAGCAAGAGCATCAGGCGCTCTCGCCAGGCAGCCTGGGGATGCTGGACCGCTCGCGCATGGCCCTGTGCGCCTTCGTCTTCCTCTGCCTCTCCTTCAACCCCCTCTCCTCCCTCTTGGCGGGCTCTCACTCGGCCAGCCCTTCGGATATCGATGGCTCCAGCCACTCCGGGCGCACCATTAAGAGCCAGAATGAGGTCACAGGTGAGTGTGCGGCAGGGTCTTTGCCGGGGGTGAGGACCCGCAGGCCTGTGGGGCTTCTCTATCCAGCCTGCAGCCTCCTTTCCCCTACAGCGCCATATTTAGGCTTCCAAATCAGCCCTGTTGGAGCAAGCACTCTCTGTTTGATGCCTGGATGTGGAGACCAAGAGTCCCTATTTTCCAGGAACAGTCCTTGGCTTTAGAGAAGCCGTTCCGGTTTCTGATTTGATCCCAGAATGTCCCACTTTTCCTTAGGATGTCCCTATTTTCATGGGAGAAATGTTGGAGGGGACACCTCTGTTTTCTTCGGAGAAGCATTGGAGAGAGTGAACTTTAGTGTGTGTGTGTGTGTGTGTGTGTGTGTGGCCACATTCACAGGAAATGCTTAGAGCGCTGCGATACCACTTCAAACAGCCATGGCTCCGCCCAAGGAATTTTGGGAGCTGTAGTTTGTTGAAGGTGCTGGGAGTTGTTAGAGAGGCCCCTATTCCCCTCACAAAGCTACAATTCCCAGAGTTCTCTGTTGTGAGGAAGAGAGACGGATTTCTAAACCCCAGTGCCTCGTGTCTTCATCCACAGACACCCCTATCGCCTGGTTCCAGTGGCTTCTCCCCACCTTGGTTTTCTGGCTGATCAACATTCTGGTTGTTTTGGGAGCCTTTGTCCGGCTGTTCATTTATGGCGAGCCCGTCACACGCCCACATTCAGAGGCTTCCATCCTTTTCTGGAGGCACCGCAAGCAGGCAGACCTCGACTTGGCGCGGGTGAGTGTGCGCATCTGTGATTTTCAGCGATTTTCATGGTTTTTAGCTTCCTGCGTTGTCTTGTCTAGCAAAGGTCCTACGACGGAACTTCCATGGGAGGCCCATGCTGTAAATAATAATAATAATAATAATAATAATAATAATAATAATAATAAAAATTTTATTTATATCCCTCCCTCCCCAGCCAAAGCCGGGCTCAGGGCGGCTAACAACAATCAAACAATCAAATAATCCAACATTCTAAAAACATTTCATTATAAAAATTAATTAAAATCAAATTAATGGCAACCGTTAAGCAAAATTCTGTGCAGTGTTGGTTGTGGTAGGGTTCTGGCACTGGGGACACAGGTTCAAGTAATCTGGGGCGTTGGCCAGACTTGCTGTTGATGCTTGTTCAGCTTAGTTTTCTTAGGTCACAGGTTTCCCAAACTTGGGTCTCCTGCTGTGGTTGGACTACGATTCCCATCATCCCAGATCACTGGTCCTGCTTGCAAAGGATGATGGGAGTTGGAGCCCAGGTTCGGGAAACCCTGCTTTAGGTCATAGGTCTTGAAGTGGTGGGTTGCGAGGCTATACCAGGCGGGTTGCGGCAATGTTGTTCCTGCCATGATGGGTTGTAGCTAAGGCTGACCAAGTCTGGCCTAGGCTCGGGGCTGCATTAAGACCTTTAGAGACCCTAAGCACTTATATATATGGGGGTACCAAAATATTTTATCTAATTCAAAATATAAACACTAATAAACAGTAAAATAAAATTGTATTTTTTGAAATGAAATGAAACTTACAGTAAGATGGAAAATCATGTTTGTTTTTGTATACTTCCACTTTATTTATCTTTTTCTAATTGCAAAGTCCTCGATCAGATCCTCAAAACTAATCCTACATGACACACCTGCTTCTATACAGTGTTGCCCCGCAAGACGAAAAACTCGCTAGACGAAAGGGTTTTCCGTTTTTTGAGTCGTTCCGCAAGACGAATTTCCCTATGGGCTTGCTTCGCAAGACGAAACGTCTTGCGAGTTCTTGCGAGTTTGTTTCCTTTTTCTTAAAGCCGCTAAGCCGTTAATAGCTGCTAAGCCGCTAATAGCCGCTAAGGCCGTTAATAGCCGCTAAGCCGTTAATAGCCGCTAAGCCGCTAATAGCTGCTAAGCCGCTAATAGCCGTGCTTCACAAGACGAAAAAACCGCAAGACGAAGAGACTCGCGGAACGGATTAATTTCATCTTGCGAGGCACCACTGTACTTAGCACAGATAAGGCATCCAGCAGGGCCTTCAAGTCCCAAGTTCAGAGGCAAGGCAGGTTCATACATAGATGAGTCGGTTTCAGAGGTGAATTGGTCCAAAGTTGTTGAAAAGAGAGACAGGCGCATTTCACCAGGGAAGGGCATTCCATAACCTGGGTGCCACTGCTAAGAAGACCCTGTCTCAGGCAGCACACCGAGTTGCTCACCCTGGGGCCTTCTAGATGCAAAGCAGCTGCTCCTCCATGTCCTTATAGCCTCTTTGTGCTCCATCCTTTACCAGCCTTGTCCATTCTCTCCCTCATTTCCTCTTCAGGGAGATTTTGCGCAGGCCTCCCAGAACTTATGGACGGCGTTGAAAGCCCTCGGCCGCCCACTCCCGACCTCCAACCTCGACCTGACCTGCAGCCTTTTATGGAACTTGATCCGTCACGTCCTTCAGCGGCTCTGGGTGGGGCGTTGGCTGGCGGGAAGGGCTGGCGGCTTCTTCCGCGACCGGGAGCTCAAGGCTGACGTGCAGAAAAGTGCCTGCGACGCGGCCCTGGTGTACCACAAACTGCATCAGCTGCACATGACAGGTAGGCTTTGAGCAGAGGTCTTCTACCCTTTTGGGTCCACGGCTCCTTGGCTTAAAGTTCCAGGCATGGCCAAACCCTTCCCATCATCCCAGACCACTGGTCCTGTTAGCTAGGGATGATGGGAGTTGAAGTCCCAAAACAGCTGGAGGGCCAAGTCTGGCCATACAGAGGTACCTTGGGTTAAGTACTTAATTCGTTCTGGAGGTCCGTTCTTAACCTGAAACTGTTCTTAACCTGAAGCACCACTTTAGCTAATGGGGCTTCCTGCTGCCACCACACCACCAGAGCACGATTTCTGTTCTCATCCTGAAGCAAAGTTCTTAACCAGAGGTAATATTTCTGGGTTAGTGAAGTCTGTAACCTGAAGCGTATTTAACCTGAAGTGTATGTAACCTGAGGTACCACTGTACTTGGTTTAAACCAGGGGTCAGCAACCTTTTTCAGCCTTGGGCCGGTCCACCATCCCTCAGACCATGTGGTGGGCGGGACTATTTTGCGGGGGGAAATGAACAAATTCCTATGCCCCACCAATAACCCCGAGATGCATTTTAAATAAAAGGACACATTCTACTCATGTAAAAACACACTGATTCCTGGACCGGCCACGGGCCAGATTGAGAAGGCGATTGGGCTGGATCTGGCCCCCGGGCCTTAAGTTGCCTACCCCTGGTAAACTACGACATCTTTGACTAAGGGTTTTGCCTCCTCCTCTTCCCACAGGGAAGCACGTGGCCGGTCACCTCTCAGCAATTAACATGGCGCTGAGTGCCGTGAACCTGGCCGAGTGCGCAGGCAACACCATCTCCGTGGCGACGCTGGCCGAGGTCTACGTGGCAGCGGCGCTGCGTGTGAAGACCAGTCTCCATCGCTGTTGTCACTTCCTGGCGGTAAGGCCGTGTGATGTGGGGTGCAGGATATTACCTCAGCTCTTCCATTTGGGCTAAGCTCACCATCAGGTGTAGGGAACTTTGGGCTCTGCAGATGTCGCCGAGCCACAGCTCCCATCATGGCTGCCTATTGACCATGGTTTTTGAGGGTGAGGGGAATTGCAGTCCAACAGCACCTGGAGGGCCAAATTGTTGTTGTTGTTATTGCTATTTTTCTAGAAAAGAAAAAAAAACTTACTGCATTCTCTTTGAATGGCAATGGTGCTAATCTGAGAGGTGCCAGAATTGAGTTCAAGCAAGTTCCAGCTGAAAAAAGCCCCATTATTATTATTATTATTATTATTATTATTATTATATACAGTCCTTCATTGCAAGATATTAGGGCTGTCCGCAGAATAAAATACAAGATAAAAAAAAAAGCAAATAATAAAAACCAAAACAACAGACACATTTAAAAGGCTGTAGAATATTAATCAGCCAGAGGCCTGGTTGATGAGGAAGGTTTTCGCCTGGCTACTAAAAATATATAATGAAGGCACCCGGCGAACCTCCTTAGGGAGAGCATTCCACAAACAGGGAGCCACTGCAGAAAAGGCCTGTTCTCTTGTGTTGCCACCATCCCAACTTCTCATAGAGGAGGCGCATGAAAAAGGGCCTCAAAATATTGATTGATCGCATTTACTTTGATGCCACATTTCCACAACTAGCTGTGCCCAAAGCAGCGTACAGCAAATATCCAAAATATGTTATTGTTTTGTTCTTTTCGCAAACCACTTTGAGGGTTGTTGGGGTTTTTTTACAGTGAAGTGGCATATACATTTTATAGGTGAATTTGTTTTTTATATAAAAAAAATAAGGCTTGCAATTAGCCGCTGGCCACCTTGCAAGTGGTAAGCACAGAATGCTGGGGTCACCCCCAGGGCTTCCCTGACTGGCTTTCCTTTCCCTTTTGTGGCGCAGCGCTTCTTCCTCAGCAGCGCCCGGCAGGTGCTGCTGTCCCACAGTGGGACTGTCCCGCCTGCCCTCCAGTGGCTCTGCCATCCTGTGGGTCACCGTTTCTTCGTGGACGGAGACTGGGCCGTGAAGAGCTGCCCTCGGGAGAGCATCTACAGCTCCACCAGTAATCCAGGTATGGAGAAGTCGGCTGGTGTGATGCGAGAGGGTGGAGCCCTGGACTTGGGGAGCAGCAGGGAAACCTGGGTTCAAATCCCTGCTTTGCTGAGAAGCTGACGGGCGACTTTCTCTCAGCCTAACCTTCCTCACAAGGTTGTTGTGAGGATCTAATGGGCAGCAGCCCATGACAGACAGGAATCATGGAATCATAGTGTGGCCATCTAGTCCAATCCCCTGCAATGCAGGAATCTTAGCTATGCCCAATGACCCACCTGCAGTATAAATTTGAAGCAGTGCCATTTAATCAGCCAAGGTTTCCTGCAAAGAATCATGGGAGTCATAGTTTCTTAAGGGTGCCGAGAGTTGTTAGGAGGTTCCTATTCCTCTTGCAGAACTACAACTCCCAGAGTTCCCTATAAGAAAGACAGATTGATTGTTTAGCCAGAATTGTAGTTCTGATCGATAGCAATTCGCCTGCTTCACAATCTGTCTCCAGTTCCTTCCAGATGGACTCCCCAACTCCGTCAGCCTTTAACAATTGGCTGTGCTTCCTGGCCCTGATGGGAGTTGTAGTCCAACAACTTCCAGGGGGCGCCATGTTGGCCAAGGGCTTCATGGGAAAGGGTTGTCCTCCAATCTATTCGTTTCCCCCATTGGACCAAGAGGGTATTTCATGGTGTGTTGTCAGGTGGTTGGCTGGCATCCCTCTGTCTCGGGAGACGATGGAGGAGTTTGCCTTTGTGAATGAAGTCAAGCTGTTGGAGAGTCACAGAGCCTGCTGCGGCTGTAGAGACCGATACGGGAGAGACATGTTTTGTTGCAGCTGAGGCAGATGAAGGCTGTCGACCCCATCAGAAAAGGGTGTTCTTTCTCTCTCCCCTTCGCAGCGGACCCCCTGGCTCAAGTGACCCAGCTGTTCCGTGAGCATTTGCTGGAGAAAGCCCTTTCCTGTGTCTCTAGGCTGGAGAGTGAGGCACCTGCCAGCCAAGACGAGGGGTAAGAGAGGACCGGATTTCGGGTCTTGAAGCCCCTGTACATGTTGCTCTCTCTTGCCTTGGCTCCAACCAGTTCTGGTACCCCCCCCCCCCAAATTTATAGATGCTGAGTGAGAACATTTAAATGGTGTGAATAATAATAATAATAATAATAATAATAATAATAATAATAATAATTTATTATTTATACCCCACCCATCTGGCTGGGTTTCCCCAGCCACTCTGGGTGGCTTCCAACAAAACACTAAAATACAATAACCTATTAAACATTGAAAGCTTCCCTAAACAGGGCTGCCTTCAGATGTCTTCTAAAAGTTTGGTAGTTTTCTCTCTCTTTGACATCTGGTGGGAGGGTGTCCCACAGGACGGCTGCCACTACCGAGAAGGCCCTTTGCCTGGTTCCCTGTAACTTGGCTTCTCGCAGTGAGGGAACCGCCAGAAGGCCTTCGGCACTGGACCTCAGTGTCCGGGCAGAACGATGGAGGTGGAGACGCTCCTTCAGGTATACTGGACCGAGGCCGTTCGTACTGATTCTCCTTGTTGCAGATTTGGCCGAAGCCCCCTTCAAACTGCCCTGGAGAGGGGATTCCCACCCATGTCACTTTCTCCCAGATTATCCCTTCCTATCCCCTTGGAACGCAGGAAGCTGCCTTATTCTGAATCAGCCCACCAGACCACCCAGTATTTGCCCGCACTGACTGGCAGCAGCTTTGAAGGGTTTCGGTCTTTTCCCAGCCCAATCCCAGAGATACCAGCCATTGAACCAAGAACCTTTCCTGCCCTGAGCCACAGCCCTTTCCTAAAGACAGCTGCACCCATAATTTCCCGCTGAGTCGTAGGGCATGCCAACAGGTTTTATAATCCCCACCGAGAAACGATAGGTGAGGTCTGCAACAGTCCTCATCCCAGCTGTGATTCCCAGCATACTGCCTCCAACAGGGGAGGGAGAACATAGTTCTTGTGGCTTGTAGAGCCTTATCTTCCGCTAAGCAGCGGTCAAGTGAGATCCTGCCTGCTTCCTGCCATTTGCAGTTGGTTTCCCAAGGTGACCTTGGGTTATTTCCCCCCGCCCTTGGAGAAGGGGGCTGTGGGTGCTTGCAGATGTGTGGGTGGAAGAGACATTGATAGAGAATATCTGGGGAGTTCAGTTTTGCAACACAGTGCTGGAAGGGTTTGTTGTTGATTGGGGAAACCCCAGAACTGGGTGGTGCTGCTGATTTCAAATGGAATTGGTATTTGCAGAAAATGTCAAGGGGAACTTAGTTTTCTTCTGCCCCTGGGACAACGCTGCATCGTGATGCAAAAGCTTCTTGCAGGCAAAATGTGCAAGGAAAGATATCACCTTCTTCCTATATTATGCAGGCCCCAGACTCTAAAGGAATATTTAGGGCCGAATTCTACTGGACACACCATTCACACAGTCAGGACTTGTGTGAATGGGTTTCTGGAGGAAATGGGAGACACTTGTCTGGTCTAAGGTCCAAACTGGATTGAGATGGAGCCTTGGAGAGGGTCTGGTCCCAATCTTTGGTGGTTGGGCAAGCTTTCAGTTTAATGCCTCTCTTTTTTTAAAAAAAAACGTCATTCAATCGCATTAATTGTTTTGTGTCTCGCCTTGGGCTCCTGGAAGCCCTGGATTGGGGTACTGGGGAGGGGACTTCCTTTTGGCTGCCCTCTCCCCAACTAGAAGCCCAAACCTGGTTAAATTGCTGGAAACCGGAGCTCTGGCACCAGCGTTCATACCAAAACTCATCCTGGTTTCCTCTGTTTGGCTGCAGGGAATTTTCCGACGCTCTGGAGTACCTGCATTTCCTCAACAGCTGTGCAGATGCCGTTCCCAGCCCAACGCCGTCCCTCAGCACCAGTCTGGATGCTGCCACAGGTGGAGAGCAACAAGCCAAGAGTTTCCCTAGACAGGATGGGTCTGGAAGGGAACTGGAGACTTATGGGACAGGGAGGAGAAGGAAACCAGAGGTTTATGCAGTTAAATAGAGGCTGGAGGACACTTTTGCTGTTGCCAGGGATATGGTCTTTCTGTGCAAATCAGGGCATTTTGCAGCGGGCGATTTGCATCAGAACATTTCCTGATTTCCTAGGGCACGCGGGTGGCGCTATGGGTTAAACCACAGAGCCCAGGACTTGCCGATCAGAAGGTCGGCGGTTCGAATCCCCACGACGGGGTGAGCTCCTGTTGCTCGGTCCCTGCTCCTGCCAACCTCGCAGTTTGAAAGCACGTGCAAGTAGATAAATAGGTACCGCTGTGGCGGGAAGGTAAACGCCGTTTCTGTGCGTTGCTCTGGTTTGCCAGAAGCGGCTTAGTCATGCTGGCCACATGACCCGGAAGCTGTACGCTGGCTCCCTCGGCCAGTAAAGCGAGATGAGCGCCGCAACCCCAGAGTTGGTCACAACTGGACCTAATGGTCAGGGGTCCCTTTACCTTCACCTTTAGGGCACAGGTGGGCAGCATCTCCCAGAGCAAGGGCCGCTCTTCCTTCCTGGGGCTGCATGCAGGTGGTGGGCGGGGCCAGAGGCTAAAGTGGGCGGAGCAATGAAGGCATTTTATTTATTTATTTTTTGCAGCAGGCTTGTTTCTACACACACACACACACACACACACACACACACACACACTTAGCGCCTCTCTCTGTACATCTGGGCAATCAAGAGGCAGGATCAAAGGCCACATTCCAGCTGGGCAAAAAAGTGTGGGGTGCGAATGGGGCCAGCAATGGGCATGTCCTGGGGAGAGGGCTGTGGGCCAGATGGTGAGACCTGCAGGTTGACAGAACCTGTGGGGCTGGAGGTTTCCACTGCTGCTCCAGAGACTGATCTAATTTAGTGTGCATATTCCAGTTAAGTATTCAGTAAGCAAAGCTTGCAAAAGTAAGGTAGGTAAAGGATAAGGGGACCCCTGACCATTAGGTCCAGTCGTGGCCGACTCTGGCGTTGCGGCACTCATCTCACTTTATTGGCCGAGGGAGCCGGCGTACAGCTTCCGTGTCATGTGGCCAGCATGACTAAGCCGCTTCTGGCGAACCAGAGCAGCGCACGAAAACGCCGTTTACCTTCCCGCCGGAGCGGTACCTATTTATCTACTTGGACTTTGACGTGCTTTCGAACTGCTAGGTTGGCAGGAGCAGGGACCGAAACAATGGGAGCTCACCCCGTCACGGGGATTCGAACCGCCGACCTTCTGATCGGCAAGTCCTAGGCTCTGTGGTTTAACCCACAGCACCACCCACGTCCCTGCTTTCAAAAGTACCCCACTTTAATTCCACCCCCTCCAAATTCACCAGAAGTTAAATATTTGGCCAGGGCAGAAATAAAACACATTGAATGTGGTTTAAGGCTGCATTCATACCATATATTGAAAGTACTGTGATACTGCTTTAAACAGTCATTGCACCCCTGCAAAGAATCCTGGGGGATGTAGTTTGCTAAGAGTGCTGAGAGATGCTAGGAGGACCCCCTCTTTCCCATCTGAGAGCTACGATTCTCAGGATGGCTTAATCAATCAATCCTTCTTCCCAGGGAGTTGGGAACCGTAGTGCTGGGAGGGAAATAGGGACCTTCTAGTGACTTTCAGCACCCTTAACAAACTACAACTCCCAGGATTCTTTTTTAAAGTGGAATCGCAGCGTATTAAATGCATGGTGCGGACGTGGCCTCAAAGTTACACCACGCCAAATCATTGTTGGGAGTTCAAGCCACGCAGCAAAGGATAATTGGGTCGCCTGATCCCATGGACTTGTCAGGTGATTGGCAGCTGGGTAGCTCCGCCTCTCCGGTCCAAGGGGTTGGGGGGAAAGCTAAGGATCTGGCCCTCTGAGCCTGCAACCCCCCACCTTGCCATAAGAGGTTCAGTGTTTTGGGCAGGATCCGCCTGACGCCATGTCCCTCTCCATCCTCTAGGCACTGATCCCATTGCCCACTGGTGGGCATCTGTGGTTGCCATGGCGATCCATGGGCTGCAAGGGGATGATGAGGCTGTGGAGCGCCTGTACCCGCTGGTGGAATCGATGCCAAGGGCCCTCCAGGCCTCTGAGTAAGTGGGGTGGGGGAAAATATTAACATGTTGCTGTTGTTTATATCCTACCTTTTTCTCCATGGAGCTTAGGGTGGCTCTGAGGTCTCCCTGTCCCCATTTTGTCCTAACAACAACCCCTGTGAGGTAGTTCCCCTATGAGAGAGAGAGGGAGACCAGGTCAACATCATACAATCATAGAGAGAGTTGCAAGGGACACCTGAGGATCATCTAGTCCAACCCACTGCAATGCAGGAATCTCGACTATAGCATCCATGACAGATGGCCGTCCAAGCTCTGCTTAAAAACCTTCAGGGAAGTCCACCACCTCCCAAGGGAGACCGTTCCCCTATCCAACAGCTCTTACTGTTAGAAAGTTCTTCCTGATGTTTAGTCGGAATCTCCTTCCTTGGAACTCGAATCCATTGGTTCAGGTCCTACCCTCCGGAGCAGGAGAAAACAAGCTTGCTCCCTATTCCACGTGACAGCCCTTTAGATATTTGAAGATGGCTCTCATATTTCATCTAAGTCTCCTCTTTTCTAGGCTAAACATACCCAACTCCCTCAACCGTAAGGCTTCGTTTCCAGACCCTTCGTCATCTTGGTTGCCCTCCTCTGCACACGTTCCAACTTGTCAACATCCTCCTTAAATTGTGGCCGAGTGGGGATTTGAACCCTGGTCTCCTAGGCCCCAGCCTGACACCCTAACCACTATGCCAGACTGGCCAAAGACAGCAAAATCCTGTAAGGAGTGTGATGGCAGCCAGGCTGCTCAGCGGCATTGGCAGGGGGCTGAGGGTCATCTCCTCCTAAAACGAATGAAGAAGAATCAAAATTGTGCAGAGCTGGGTTTTGCAACCCTCTGACACGCCTCTGTTGGCTATAGAGAGCCTCCAAGTTCAGGGGAAGTCTACCTCTGAGTCCCGGTTGCTGCTCTGACGTTCTTATACTCCGTCTTGGAGCTTGCTCAGCTAACTTCTCTCATTCCGGTCATTTTCAGGATGCATTGTTCCACAGTCATAGGGCCTAGGAACTTGAATTTAAGCAAACAAACCCTGAGCTTTTAAAAATTTATTTAAAGGAAACAGGATTCTGTGGCCAAAGGCAGACCTTGCAGCTTTCCCAGAGCTCTTCAGCCCACACAGAACTTTGCTGATATGGGGAGCGGGCGGTTTCCCCCCTCCCCTGAAATGATAGGTTGGCAATTCATCCTGCTTCTCCTTTCTTCGCTGCAGGAATCCTCTTCCTCGCGCGGCGCTGCATACCTTCAAGGCTGCGCGGGTGCTGATGGGCAAGCTCGACTGCAGCCTGGGCCAGTGCGACAGAGCCGGCGACTACTTGCGAGACAGCTTGGCGGGCAACACGCCCCCCAGTGCCATCGACAGAGTGAGTTGTTGTGGGGGCGGGGCCTGGAGGCCTGGGCGGGGCCAAGCAGGAGGCCAGGGCGGCGCTTAAAGGGGTGGGTGGGGCTAATTTGTACTTACTTGCTCCCTGGAGGTGGAGCCTGTTGCTGTACAGGAGAGGGGGGGGGTAACGGCCCAGATCCGGAGGCTGAGATTCTGAATGAGGCTTTGGCGCAAGGCTAGGGGGTGGTGCTTAGTTTGCCTGGAGCAGGCACCCCCAAACTCAGCCCTCCAGATATTTTGGGACTACAATTCCTATCATCCCTGACCACTGGTCCTGTTAGCTAGGGATGATGGGAGTTGTAGTCCCATCTGGAGGGTTGAGTTTGGGGATGCCTGGCCCTGGAGCTTCCGATTCGTCCTGGAGCTAAAGTGCTCAAATGGAGCCTCAAGTTGTGTCCGCGGCTCTTGGCTGGTTGCCCAGGAAAGTGTAAAGACAAGGAAAAGTTTCTTACAGTCCTTTTTTATTTCAATCTTTACAGAGAGAGGCTATAGAACCCGGCCTCTTGGATAACGGCATTGTCCCAAGTGAATCTCTATCCCTCGTCTCTCCCACTTCCTCATTCGTCGTCATCACCACCTCCTCTATGGGTGCTGCTACGTGCCCTCTGTCTTTGAGCTCTTTGCTCTCCTACTTTTAAGGCCCGCCGGGTTCTGGGAGATGGAGGCTCTGGGATGCTTTCTCTCTCTCTCTCCAAACATCCTGGTCTCGTTGTTTCTGAGGACAACCTTTCCCCACCTCTGGCGGCTGTGGAAACCAGGAGGCTGTGCAGAAGCGGGGGTGGGGTGGGCGGGCGGGCGTTGTGGTGGTGTCGGGGGTGCATTGTAGTTGCATTGCATGTGCAGCCAAAGTGTGCAATGCCCCTCCAGTGCAGCCCTGAGGCCGCTTCTCCCGGCGGAGGGTCATGGCAGCAGCCCAGGGCTTGCGAGAAGAGGCAGGAGCGAGAGGTTGATCGGGGAAGACCTTGGGCTGTTACAGAGTGGAGGAACCAGCTGGGGAACCCCCAAGGGAAGAAGGCTCAGAGCCCGGGGAGGGGTGATGGGACTTCAATGAGTGGTCAGAAGGAAAAGACTGGGAAGAGGAGGTGTCAGAAGCTGAAGAGGGAACAGGGCTTAGTGAGCGGGGAGAGTCTGTGGCAGAGAGCAGTCCAGACTCAGAGGCAGAAGCTGAAGGAGGAGAGGAGAAAGACCAAGAGGCAGAGATGAGTCAGGCTGCTGAAGAGTCCTGGGTGTCTCCCCCTCCCGCTGCAACAAGCTCCCCTCCCCACTTGTCTCCCAGAACCAGAAGAGGCATGAAAAGGGCAGAAGAGAAATTAGGGTCATGCAGGCACAGTCTCAGATTGCTTGGAGAAAACCCTGGAGAGGAGGGGACTTAGGCAGCTGTGGGGAGGCAGAGCTCTTCAGTCTCAGCAACTGCTTCATAGGGGCAAGACCTACCAGAGATGAGTTGCTCTGCTCGTGAGGCCTGACACTTCTGTGCAAGTTGTGTTTTTGCTAATAAAGAATCAACTCCAACTTGCACAGTGTGATTTACTGCCGGCTCGCTCCTGTCGTCAGCCCAACACCCTCCACCCACCAAGCGTCAGCCCTTGTCTCTCGGTGACTCTTCTTCTTTGGCGATCCCTCATAGCCGAGTAAGATTGTCTTCCATAAACACGGTTTTAACAATGAGTCCGTAAGTGACTGTGGAGGCCAATTCTGGATCCACACGTCCTTCCACAGTGGGGACATAGGTTTCCGGGTGGGAGTTGATCATGGTGAGGGTTTGCCAAGTGTGCCTTTCTCTTAGCACATTTCTCCCTTGCGTCCTGAGTTCGAGTGTCTTCAAAGCCTGTATTAGCTGTGGCCGGCAAAATTCTTTCAAGGATCTTAGCAAACAGTCTTTTAGCAATATCCGAGGTGACCCTTCCTGAATCCCAAAATGGTTTTCGGCTTTCTAGGGGGACAGTGGACATGATTTTCACCGCTCAACAGCTTTCAGAAAAACTCAGGGAGCAAATCCAACCCCTGTATACGGCATTTATTGATTTGACTAAGGCTTTCGACACTGTAAATCGCAATGCCCTGTGGACTGTCCTTCTGAAAATTGGCTGCCCAGATAAATTTGTGAATATCATTCGGCTCCTCCATGATAATACGACAGCAACAATTGCAGATAACGACGACTCTCAAAGTGAACCATTCACAGTGGGATCAGGTGTGAAACAGGGTTGTGTTATTGCCCCAACTCTATTCATTATTTTCATTGCCATGAAATTGAAAAATCTACATAAGACATTCAAAAACCAACAAGCCTGCTATCCCAGCTATCCCAGCCTGGTTATCCCCCTAAAAACTCTGATACCCCATTTTTAAATACAATATACTCACATAGAGACTCCTTACACTGTGTTTAAAACCAAAATTGCATTTGGATAGAAACTGTTTCTCAGGCGGCTAGTCCTAGTCTTTATAACCCTGTACCTTCTTCCAGAAGGCAGAAGCTGAAAGAGATCATTTCCGGGGTGCGCACTATCCTGCGCTATCTCTGCAGCTTTCTTATGACACCTGGAAGCATAGATTTGATCCAAGGTGGGAAGAGTGCACCAATTATTCTCTCTGCAGTCTTTACAACCCTGGACAGCATTGTTTTTCCCCAGACGGTGCAGCTCCCAAACCACACACACAGACCATCAGTTAATACACTCTCAATGGTACAATGGTAAAATGCCATCAACAGGTCCTTTGAGAGATTGTTTTTCTGCAGGATTCTCAGAAAATATAACCTCTGCTTCCATTGAACAGATGGAAAGCTCTTTAATCCAGGATGCTGGACTAGGTGGGCCATTGGCCTGATCCAGGAGGGCTCTTCTCACTTTCTTGCGTTCTCTCTCTTTCTCAGGCTGTGCAGTTCCTCTTGTGTGACCTCCTGCTCATCACTCGCACCCGGCTCTGGCAGCAGCAGATGCAAGCAGGGCAGCCACATGGCACTCCCTACCAGGCCTCCACCCTTGAGCTCCGTGGCTTCCAGCAGGATCTCAGCAGCCTCCGGCGCCTGGCGCAAGCGGACAAGGCTGCCATGCACAGGGTGAGTGCGGCGTTGGGCTTCTCTGCTCCTGTAAGCTCCTCATTGGCTCTGCAATGCGGCTGTCACTCTCAAGAGCGCTGGATTTTAGTCACCCTATAAAGCTGTCTCACGCCGACTCAGAGACTTCTCCAGTCTGTTTATTTTATTTGTCCCATAAGAAGAATAGAATAGAATAGAATTTATTATTTATACCCCACCCATCTGGCTGGGTTTCCCCAGCCACTCTGGGTGGCTTCCAACAGAGTATTAAAATACAGTGGTCTGTTAGACATTAAAAGCTTCCCGAAACAGGGCTGCCTTCAGATGTCTGCTAACAGTCTGGTAGTTGTTGTTCTCTTTGACATCTGGTGGGAGGGTGTTCCACAGGGTGGGCACCACTACCGAGAAGGCCCTCTGCCTGGTTCCCTGTAGCCTCGCTTCTCGCAGTGAGAGAACCACCAGAAGGCCCTTGGCACTAGACCTCAGTGTCCAGGCAGAACGATGGGGCTGGACATGCTCCTTCAGGTATACTGGGCTGAGGCCGTTTAGGGCTTTAAAGGTCAGCAGCAACACTTTGAATTGTGCTTGGAAACGTACTGGGAGCCAATGTAGGTCTTTCAAGACTGGTGTTATGTGGTCTCGGCGGCCGCTACCAGTCTAGCTGCCACATTCTGGATTATTTGTAGTTTCCGGGTCACCTTCAAAGGTAGCCCCACGTAGAGCGCACTGCAGTAGTCCAAGCGGGAGATAACTAGAGCATGCACCACTCTGGCAAGACAGTCCACAGGCAGGTAGGGTCTCAGCCTGCGTACCAAATTTATATATGGCTTGATTGCTGTTGTTTATTATTTAAAAAAACCTTCAAAGGGGTTTACCGGAAAGATAATACCATGAAATCAACAATAATTTAAAGCTTTTGTAAAATTAACGTAGCAATGGACTAGAAAGTAGTCAGAACTCCCATCCGCTTTCTAAGCATCCGAATAGACTTGTCTGTGCAAGAATTGGAGATTACACTTGAAGGCACCTGGTTGCTATCAATAGGCAGGGAGTTCCAAAGTGGAGGTGCTGCCACACTAAAATATCGAGTTCTTACAAATGTCGAATGGGTATTATGTGGCACCTTTAACTGTGCCAATTTCACTGATCAGTTGGTCGAATGGGCAGATCTTGTAATCAAATTGGTCCCAAGCTGTTAAGGGCTTGACATGTGGAATTTGCAGCCCTCTGCATGTTGTGAGGCTCTGAGGTCACATCTGCATCATATACCATATTAAAAGTCGAGCTCCCCCCCCCCCCGAATCCTGGGGGCTGTAGTTTGTTAAGGATGCTAAGTTTCAAATTTTTGCTGAAATCCTCACAGGTGCAGGGTCTGTGTCTTGCCTTCCTTTTGATGGCCAAGGGGTGTTTGTTGTGAGCATCCCTTTTCATTCTGCAACTCATCTCGCTGGTGGTCTGTGCTCTGCAGCCTCCCTGGGTGCCCAGCCATCAATTAAACCAGATCAGTAAGTGCAGGCAGCTGGGGAGGCTGCAAATCGCCAGAGAAATCTTTCCTGTAAAGAAAGGCACACATGCGTGTGAGAGTTGGCTACCAGAATTCTGACGGATTTCTAAATAAGTGCTCTGAGAACGAGGCAGGGAACCTGAAGCCTCTTTTGCAGAGGACAGAAACTTTAGAGACCCTGGGAGAGAGATCTCGACACAGCGCTGGTTTTCGTGGTGGGTTCTGGTGGGAGGCAGCGGTGGGTGGTGCTGGGGGGAGTGTGGTGGTTCCTGACTCTCTGGCCTGCCCCCCCAGGTGTTCCTCCATGAGGCGACGGCCCGGCTGATGGCCCGAGCCAGCCCCACCCGGACCCACCAGCTGCTGGACCGCAGCCTGCGCAGGAGAGTTGCCTCGAGCATCAAAGGAGGTGAGTGACAGGGGTGTGGTCTTGGTCCATGCGTGAACCACCTCCACTGATCGGCAGTGACTCTTTGGGGATATTTCCAGCCCCACCTGGAGATGTCTTTGGGGATTGAACCTTCTGCATTCAAGGCAGGTGTTCTGCAACTGAGCTACAGCCCTTCATAGAATCATAGAGTTGGAAGGGACCCCGAGGGCCATCTAGTCCAACCCCCTGCAATGCAGGAATCTTTCACCCAATGTGGGGCTCAAACCCATGACCCAGAGATTAAGAGTCTCATGCTCTGCCAAGTGAGCTACTTCTTGCTCCTCACACCTGAATGCCTCTTCCGCCTTGGGGCTCCTCTCTGGACCACCTGTAGGAAGGCAGAGAGGTGGGGTCTAGCTGAGTACATGCCCCATTTGCTCCAAGGGGCCAGTCTCCAACGCAACACTCCATCCCAATCACAAGACTTGTAGGGAGGGATAGTTGAAAGGGTAAAGGTAAAGGGACCCCTGACCATTAGGTCCAGTCGTGACCGACTCTGGGGTTGCAGTGCTCATCTCGCTTTACTGGCCGAGGGAGCCGGCGTACATGGGTCATGTGGCCAGCATGACTAAGCCGCTTCTGGCGAACCAGAGCAGCACACAGAAACGCCGTTTACTGTCCCTCTGGAGCGGTACCTATTTATCTACTTGCACTTTGACGTGCTTTCGAACTGCTAGGTAGGCAGGAGCAGGGACCGAGCAACGGGAGCTCACCCTGTTGCGGGGATTCGAACCGCCGACCTTCCGATCAGCAAGTCCTAGGCTCTGTGGTTTAACCCACAGCGCCACCCGCGTCCCTAGTTGAAAGGGTAGAGCTCAGCATTAGGAGTGAAAATAAGCTGTGGGTCTCTGAATTGGTCCTGGTGCCAAACAGTGATGCAGCCTTACTAATCCATTCATTGCATTTACATCCCCACCCCATTCCTGCCCCCCCCCAGGTGTCTTACATGGTTCTTCCCCTCCTATTTAATCCCCCAGACCACCCAGTGAGGTAGGTTAGGTTGAGAGAGGTGGTGACTGGATCCCAAGGTCCCCTGGTGAGCTTCATGGCCGTGTGGGGGATTCGAACCCTGGACTCTCTCCAACATGCTAACCATTGCACCACGCTGCCTTCGGGGGGGGGGAATGGCCAGTGCTGGATTTACATATAAGCTAAACAATTTAGCTTTTAAATTAAAAAAAAATTAAAGAAAAAAAGTGGATGTACATTTCCAAAATATAAGATGAAAAACAAATAAAATAAAACCTACATACAGTTAGAGCTTAATAATTATTTCACTATTAATATATTACTTCTTAATTGTATTTCACTGTTAATATACTTCTTAATTGTATTTCCGTTCAACAATTACTTTGATAAAATACATATTTTGTTATGTGCAAATGGCTTGAGATGCCTATTAGGTTCATAAATGACCTTATAGCATATATTCAACACAAAAAACAATTTGTTGTTGACAAAGGACACCTGGCCATAGAAAGGGCCCCATTACCTTCAGTAGCTTAGGGCCTCATCAAACCTCAATCTGGCCCTGGGGGTGGCCTGTCCTGTCGTGCAGGGCCACCTCTTGCTTCCGTGCCCCATCCCGCTGAGCTTCCGACATTGTTTTCCTTTCCAGCCAGCGACCACGAGAGCCAGCCGACCTCACGAGAGCAGGCCGAAGCCCTCCTCCTCGCCTGCTCTTACCTGCCCCCCGCCTTCCTTCTGGGTCCCAGTCAGAGGATGGGCATGTTGGCGGAGGCGGCCCGATCCCTGGAGAAGCTGGGGGACAAAAGGACACTTCACGAGTGCCAGCAGATGATCATCCGGCTGGGAAGCGGGTCCACTGTCACCTCCAGCTAGAGAGAGGGGGCACCGAGGAGGACTTGTGGGGAGGAGGAAGAGGGCAGAGAGGGAAGGCGACCCCTCTAAGCACATGGCGCGTGTGTTCTCCTGGACTCCGGCAGGCGAGACAAAGGATCTGGCGTGGCCTGCAGAAGACCGGCTCTCCCCCCTCTTTCTCTAGGTAATCATTACTCTGCAGGGCTACTCTCTCATCTCCCCCTAAGTTCTGTGGGGGGAGCCCCTCTCCTTGTGTTTGTGTGTGCTGAGCAGACCTATGTGACTTGGGGGGTGGGGAGCGCAAGCAAGCAAGTGGTGTTTTCTGAGAAGGTGACGAGGTGATGCACCTCCGGGCTGCGTGCTTATCCTGCTGTCGAAATTGGGGAGAAGGGAGATTGATCGCTGGCTGCATTGAGGCAGCGTTGGAAAAACCGGACGTCCTTGACAGCACTGGTTTTTCGACTGGCGGGCAGGGAGCTGCTAGTGAGTCCAGCACGGGTTGCAACAGGAGCAGCGCCATCATGCAAATAAATGAGGAAAGGTTAGGAATTGGGTCCCTAAATGCATGCTTGGGTCAGAAGTATGTCCCTGGGTCTGAAAAGGCTGGAGATAACCTTCTTTTTAGAGCCATTCTGGTTGGGATGCAAGTGCATTTTGTTCAGTTTCTTGCAACTAGATTCTGCATTTTGAGACGCGCACACACACCCTTGCAAATGCACACATGGCTTGTGGTGGTTCATTGCACTTCCATTGTAGCACCCCTATGGGGGGGCTGGCGGCTTTGCAATTGCCCGGTTTCCCATTGGCTGGCCTCTGTTCTTCTCTCTTGTCTCCACCTCCCCAGATAGTCTCCCCTACTTCCTGCCAGCAGCCCATGACAAGGCAAAGGGGACCCCTGGTGGCAAACCACCAGCACTGCAGGATGCCCCTCCATCTCTCTGGCCAGATGTGAGCAGCTTAGATGTGAGCTCCATTTCTCCAGAGCCGTCTCTGCTGTCAGACGCCTCCCGCTTCGCTCCTCCTCCGTCCTCTGAGGGCAGATGGGGACTCCTGTCAAGGGGCAGAGTGCTATGGGTCTGGGATTTTCTGGAGGTGGGCCATGGATATTCACGTGGTGGAACTGTCTCCAGGAGAAACTTTGTGCTTCAGTTACAGAAGAAAGTTCTCTTTCTCTCCACCCTTTGTAGTGGCTCCCTGTGAATGATTTGGCTATATTTTGGTGGGCTGGGAATTGTGGATTTCTGGCTTGGGTGTTCTGGACGCCCATGCTAGCATGCGGTCACTGTCTTGTTACCACACCGCAGGGCGTGTGTGCAGGGATTTCTAAGAAAGTTTTGCCACATGTATATTCCACCCACTCCTTTTCTGGCAGGCTTTCCCCAAAGTAGAATTCACACGCAAACACATGTCACCGCCCTAATTCTTGGAGCTGCTGGCTGTGGGCACTTCATCGGTTGAATTTCTGCCTGCCGGTCAGCTGTTAAAAGGCACCGGAGTCCTGCTAGAAAAGGCGGCCAGCCCATTTAAGAAAAAGCAGACTATTCTCTCTGGGGATTTTTATTTTGTTTCACGAGTGTACAGGAAGGGAAACGATGAAAGGTCAGAGGGGCAAGCTGCTTCATTTTCTATCCCTCCAAATAGATTTTTGGTCCTAACAGCAACCACCCCCCGTGTTGGTTCCATCAGGCTGTCTGGGTTAAGGATGTTGTTGCTATGGAGAAATTTCCTCTTGCGGGGCGCAGGTGTGATGGGAGAGGCAGGAAGGTCCGGCCTAATCATGGTGGGAATATGAACTGTGCCCTCTTCAGGGCTTCTGTTGCAGGAGCATTTCGGGGGTGTTTCTGTGTGTGAGAGAGATATTAGCGCACCCCACCCCTCCTCAATCTGCATCGCTCAGCCACGCCTCTTCCATTTAAAAGTTATTTTCATAGCGTGAGGTTTTTTTGTACAGATGATAAAATAAAAGACCTACTTATTTATACCTCTTTTGTCTGTGACACTTTATTGAAGGAGTGGGAAAGGAATAGAGTATGCTTGAGCGGGGCTCAGCAGGTCACGGAGAGGAGGTGTGAGAAAGAGACCACCTGCCATTTGAGACCCACATAAAGGTAAAGGTAAAGGTACCCCTGCCCATACGGGCCAGTCTTGACAGACTCTGGGGTTGTGCGCCCATCTCACTCAAGAGACCGGGGGCCAGCGCTGTCTGAAGACACTTCCGGGTCACGTGGCCAGCGTGACATCGCTGCTCTGGCAAGCCAGAGCCACACACAGAAATGCCGTTTACCTTCCCGCTAGAAAGCGGTCCCTAATTATCTACTTGCACCCGGGGGTGCTTTCGAACTGCTAGGTTGGCAGGCGCTGGGACCGAGCAGCGGGAGCGCACCCCGCCGCGGGGATTCGAACCACCGACCTTTCGATCGGCAAGCCCTAGGCGCTGAGGCTTTTACCCACAGCGCCACCCGCGTCCCACATGCATGAGACCCACATGCCTCCGTTCAAATCCATGGGTGGACCAAAGACAAGTTTGCCAATGGCGGTTCGTTACAGTAGCTTGTATGAAGTCTCCAGGTTCAGAGAGGCAGTGCTCTAGTGAAGACCCAGGTTTCCAGGAGCACCAGTGGTCTTGCTTTGACGCCTTACCTGAAAGCGTCTGGCTGGCCACTGAATGCAAGACTGAAAGGAGGATGCGAGACTGGATGCAGCTTCTGTTTGATCCAGAAAGGCTATGCGTGGCCAAAGCAACTTTGTGCTGTCCAAACAGGCAAACCTTTTCTTATAAAGACCCCTATTTGCACCCACTTCGCACTAGATTGTGCAAATTGACTCCCATAAAAGGGTTGGAACCTTGATACATCATCTGTAATGACCTAATAGTCTGTGCAAACATTCCTTTGGTAGTATAGTTGTTGAGTAGCGAAATGTGTGATCGCACCTTCCGTGTTTAAACCAAGGGTGTGGAGCTTCTGGTCTTCCAGTTCCTGTGGACTGCGACTCCCATCAGCCCCAGACAGCATGAACCCAAGGTCAGGGGCGATGGGGCTTGTAGTCCAACAACTAGGAGGCAACAGGTTCCACATCCCTTAGTTAAAACAGTGGATGTGATCGCTGTTGCATGGGCGTCTTCTCCTTCCAAGCAGAGATGCTGGTCAGGTCCCTTGGCGGTCAATTATTCGGGTACCAGTGGGAACCATGCATATAGCATCGTTCTTCCTCTGGCGGGTTTCTGTATATGTTCATGCACACCCTCACATGTCTGCGCACAGGCTGCCTCTCTCGTTCCCATCCTGACCTTGAAATCTGCACTGCAGTCCTCGTACCTGTTACGCTGCTGCTGTTTCAAATCTTCCTCTGCCTGGAAAGAGACACTTTCCTCCGATCAATGGCTTCCCATTGTGGGTCTCAGGTGTGGGGATTTTCTAGGGGAGCCTAGTATGCTACCTCGGACTGAGGGATGCCTGAATTGATTGGATTGGCAGGCGATTGGCTCAAGCTTATTGGGCACCTACTGAATTGGGTGATTAGAGCAACTGGTTAATCTATCCTTACTCCCTCAATGGATGGGGTGGCAGAAAAATAGTTTACTAGGGGACTCTGCAAACATCCAAAACAATTATTGAATCTTTATTGATGTTTTTGAATGCAATGACCTGATTTTTTCTCTCTCTTTTTTTTAACTCTTAAGGAAAATAAACTTCTTTTAGAAACAGCTTGTTACACACAATCTTCAGTGTGAAGCAATATACTAAATAAGAACACTAGTTTTAACATTTACAGTCTTTCATATATATTATATATATGTATATGTATACATATATATACACTATAGAATGAGGCAATATATAATACACACGATTCGCCATTTTACAGTCATTATGTACAGGATGCTATTCAAAGACAGCCAAGATCGTCGGGGTCACGATGCCGTGTGGTGAGGGGTGGCGGGGCGTGGGGTGGGGTGGGGTGGACAGGGATTTTCCCAGCCTGCCCTCATAAGGTGTGCTTCTGAAACAGGCCAGCCAAACCTTGCGGGGCAAGCTGTGAGCGTAGCAATGGCGACGGCAGAGAGCGCAGGGTACCATGAAACAGACAGGTTACAAGCGTGAATCTGCGTGGTCTCTCTTAACAGGGCAAAGGAACCCAACAGGATGCTGTTATTGATCCCACTGGATGGGTAGACAGGAGAGCTTCATGGGAGCAGAGGGCCCAGATGTGCTCCTCTTTCTGGACTGGGCAACACCAATATGGAATTTTGAAACATAGCAACACATTCACGGTCCTTGCGCATATTCTGTACCTGTTAATTTCTGGGTCCTGTTAATAAGCGGGGAGATGACACAGCTGTTCCACGGGCGACTGCAACCAGAATACTGAACCAACCTTTCCACCCTGAAGCTGTGTAGTCGGGTGTTCTGATTTCATAGCTAAGCAGAAAGAGTCCTCTAAGATCCCTTCTGTTCAGGGGACACCCTCAAAAGCAGGAGTAACTAATGTGGGAACTCTCCGTAAGTTGCTGGACTTTCAATTCCCACCAACCCCAGTCAGGGATGATGGAAGTTGCAGTTAGCATCATTTGGAAGGTGCCCTATTGGCTATGCTTGCATGTATGCACAGGGGAAAAAAAACCGGGCAGGTGCAACCACAGCTCAGCTTCTGTGCAAAGGAAGTAAGTGCTCAAACTTACGCTAGAAGCCTCTCTCCCATCCTCCCCCACTGCCTCTTTAGGCATTGCTGTCCACATTTCTGGTCTCATCAAAGTCCTGGACCAAAGATGTGGGAAGCTGCCCTGTGGACATCGTTGAAAGTGCTGTTCAAAGGACAAGTGAGAACCTGCTTATGGGATGGCACAAAAGGGTGATGTGTGATGGTGTGCAAGCCCATTGACGGAAGGCCTTGGCCTGGGCCCAGCTGCAAAGAAGAGGTCTGTGGCACTTGGTTGAGCCCGTCTGGCAGGGTGGGACCAAGGCAAGAGGCCATCTCCAAGGAAGATGGTGCCACCTCAAGTGAGCGACACCTTTGCTTCCCAAGAGACTTATCTTATGCTACATGAGTTTTCACAGCCCTCTGCAAACCATGGCTCTGACCTAACCCTTATCCTCAGGCGTGTGGAGGGGTGGCTTACTGGTCCTTTGGCGGTGGCTCAAACCATGGTTCTGGTGGCACACGGTGAGGTCCAGAGAGAGCTGCTTCCCCTATAGGCATACCGACTGCCACAGGCATGCCAGACTCCCTTTAGCAGGAGCTAGGGTGAAATGGGGGTGTATGGTGGAAGCTTCCCCTCTCCCCACTTCACCAGGAAAAGCTTCAGCTGCTAAAAAGGAGGCGAGGCAGTTCTGGGTTGGAATCATTTAACAGGTTTGGGGATGCAGCAACAGGGTCCCTTCTGAGTAGGGTGCAGTGCGTAGCTCCCCATCGGGGTCAGGCGCTGAAGGGAAATGCCTTGGGCCTGAGCCGAGCCAGGATCTGCTCAAATTCTGGACACACCTGCCACAAACTCCAATGGAAGGTGATATGCATTGGCATGGCAAAAGCACCAGGAGGGAGGAGTGTGCCCAACCTTCTCTGTATGTGCCATGTTCCCGGAAACCACCCAGAGGAACAGAGAAATATTCCCATCCCAAAGAAGCGCCAATGTGCGTTTGGGAGTCGGTGAAACCCAGCAGGGAATCTGCTTGGAAAGTGTGGCGAAACCCCTTCGCAAGCCGGCAGAGGCGTGCGAAACTCTCCCTCCCGCCCCAATCGAACTTCGCTAGTGTTCCGCGAAACCGTTCCCCCTTTCCTTTAAATCCCGCAGAGCCTGCAAGCTGCCTCGCGAGTTTCGCTGCTGGTGAATGGCGGGGACGAATCCCAATCGAACTGAGCTACTTTTCTCCTTGCAGGGCCAACCAAGACGACCTTCCTGGGTGCCTGAGCCGCCTTTTCCGCGCTGGGCAGGAGGGCCGAGACGGGGGTCGGACCCAGATGGGGACTGCAAATGGGGTCGGAGGGAGGGAGGAAGGGGCGGCGAGGGGAGGACGGGGGACAAAAGCCAAACGAAGGAGCAAACGAACCAAAGCAACGCGGCATTGTTTCAAAAAACATCGGGGCGCTTCTTTTTACAAGCTGATCACAGATATATACAAACACGCACACGCACACGCACACACACCATGAGGTTTGAAGGCAAAAATAGATCAGATCAGAAAAAAGAGACGGAGGAGGAGGACGAGGCGGGCTCGGAGAGTCCGGCGTTTGGGGGAAGAAAGGCAAGGCGACCTGTCGGGATGCTTCGCAGGAGCCTTTCTCCCCGGCTGGCCTCCCCCCTCGCCCGCACCTTTCCCGTGCGGAGAAAGTCTGGAAAGGTGAACTCGGACCGGTGCTGTTGGGATTTCAGATTTCCGATGAAATCTGGCCGAAGGATTGCAAGTTCCAAAGGGTGGTGCGCAGGTAAAGCCTCGAGATTCACTGCGAGGAGGAGAAACGCAAAAGGTTTGGGGGGGGGTGGAGGGGAAAAAAGAAAAAGAAACCCACCCCCTAACAAACTCCAGGCCAGGTTTTGTCAGTAGCCGTGTCCCAGGTGGAAGATGTTAGCTTATCAGTATTGGTTACAGCTCCTAAGTAGGGGAACCGGGAGGGCGGGGAAGGAGGAATGAAAACGTGGAGCCGGAGTTCCTCTTCTCTCCTGAACCGGCTCTGGGCTGCTTTCAAGAGAAGGGCTGGAGGTGCAGCGAGGATCAGAACCGGCAAGTGGGTTTTGGTTTCGGTGCCAACCTGGAGAGGCTCTTGGAAAATGCCAGAGGAGGAGGAGGAGATCGGGAACCGGAGCCGAGGTCCTGCGTCCCCCCCCCCCCAGGCTGAACGCCGGGAGATGCTTAGGAGTTGGGCTGGAGTTCTGTGCCTTTCGGGGGTGGGGTGTCGGCTCGGTGAGAAACTGCAGGCACCTAAGCGAGCTGGAGCGAGGGGCTCTTCCGCGCGGCGGCCGGGGTGGGTCCCCATCCTAGAGTA